GTAGATCAGGGGTGATACAGGTGTAGACACAGAGGGAGGTGCACGTGTGGATGTGGGTACTGATACCAACACACGTGATTAGGAGACACACATGTTTGGATGAGGGCATAAGTGTAGATACAGAAATGCAGATGCTGATCGAGATCCGTGATGTAGATGGACACAGATATAGACCCAGGTAGACCATGCAGACCTGGTGTAGACACACATGTCTATACCCGACGTAGGTATAGACATGCAGATGCTGACAGAGATACAGTTCAGTACAGACACAGGTATATGATGTGGATGTGGATGTGGTGTAGGTGCAGATATACCCTGGAGATGTAGGGGTAGACACAGATGTAGAGGCAAGTATTGGTGGTGACTCCCTTGCTGACCCATCAGATACGAGGATGGCCCATGGAGTCTCAGCATCACCAGAACCCTTTGAGGCCCTTTTGCATCTTAAGCCCCCAAGCAGAGCTGCAGAACCCACCGAGGACAACCCTGGAGTGGACAGTGTCCAGGTCCCAGGCTTGGTCAGAGTGCGCTGGGTGGTTCCAGTCGTTCCTTTTCCTCTGTGCAGCCTCCCCCCCCCCCACCATTTCACCTTTTGCTGTAAGAGAGAGTGTCAGATGTGGGAAAGGGGGGTCCATAGTCTGGGACCATTAATGACCCCCTTCCTGGTGTGGTGTCACCTCTTCAGGCATCTCCTGACTGGTGAGACATGGCTAAGCCAAATCAGGAACCCATTTGGTCCAAGAGGCCCTGGACTTGTCTTTAACACCCATCGTATTTGCATTTCCATGGCATTTCCTCACTGTGCTTCCCACCATGGTCAGAGGTCAGACAGGTTTGAAATTCCCTCCAGTTCTAGGATCCCAGCCCATAACAGACATCGAAATCCAACACGTCACCTGAACCTCGACAATGGGGTGAAAGCAGGCCTGTGAGTCAGGGGCACCAGAGAGCAGACAGCTGGGGCAGGGGATGAAACGTATCTGGATCCGGTGTCAAATGCCAACCAATGAACAAAGCTGTGACACGGATGTGACACCGGAGCTAAACATGGGCTCTGCACCTGATGCTACTGAGGCATTGTGGTAGGTTAAAGGAGGCTCCTTATATTTCAGAGCTATTTCCCGAGATGCTTCCAAGAAAGTGGGGTTTGTTTGAAAGTGGCATGAGGGGCGGGAGCAAATGGGGGGCAGGTGGGACAAGGATGGGCCTGGGTCGTTGTCTTCCTGTGCTGTTGGAAGTCCTGCATCAGAAAGAGTGAGACATATGGCCATCTGTTGCCTCATGAAAAATATGAACCTGAATGGCCAGGGGAGCCATTGGATGACGTGCTTGGAGACAAGCCAGGCCCTAGGGACACGGTGGGTGGCTCCAGGATGGCTGCCTAGGCACCTGCAGCCAGCCTGTCAGAGGACTTCGTCACGATACCTGTGCTTCCATCAGGGTATGTGGTGGAAAGAAAACCCCAGGGAACATGTGGAACCAATGGGTCTCCTCATAACTGGCAGGTGCCTGGGGCCCCTCCACGAGGGCCACCCTCTTCACCACCCTCACCGGACTTGGCACTCAGCCTGCAACCTTCTCCCCAGACTGAAGCTCCTTTATCTCCAGGCCAGCTGCATTCTCTCCCTGCCACCAGGCTGCCACCCTCGGCCACGACCTGCTCGAAGCCAGGAGGCTCTCTGTGTCAACCACTCTTCCCAGAGGCCCTCGGGGCGCCACCTGATAGGTGAGGGAGCTGCCCAGGGGCCACTGCCCTGCACCTTCCCCCAGCCCCCCCGCCACCCCAGCAGCCGGGCCATCCCCATCCCTGGGGCTGAAGGGCAACTGCGGACCAAAGCTGGACCATGCAGCAGGCCCTCTGGTGCATCGTGCATCCGTGCAGGGCTTCTCATGGTCCCCACATGAGCTGCTGCCGCCCTGAGGACAGTAGTCACTGTCTCCTGCATCAGCCTGGCAGCCGCCTAGCCCCCACCCCCAACCCCACAGGCACTCGCTTCCCCAAAGCCAGTCTTGTGCACGCAAATGTCCATCCACACGAATCCACCCCCAATACCAGGAGAGCCACACGCTCCTGAGCATCTCATCAGGCATAAAAAGTGGTTTCTCCTTTGCCAGGACCCAAATGGGTCCCTTGGCTTCAAGTTCGCCTTCCGTGTGCCATCTCTTCTGAATTCAGAGCACCTATAAAATCAGCCTTGGAGGACGGGGCGGCCGTTTGGACCTGCAGCCAGTCTGAAGGGTCCCCCTGGGGGTAGAGGGCAGGATCGTGCACAGCAGGAGAAGCGACGCTCTGTCAGAAGGTGGAAGAGACGCAGCGCAGAGGCAAGCCACTGCCCGGTCCAAGGGAAGCTGCTGCCCGGTCTGAGCCCCCACGGGGAGGACAGGGTCAGCATGCAGCTCACAGGTACGAGGACCACCAGGTGTACGGAGGTCCTTTTTTTAAAGAACGGCATCAAATTCTTGTCAATTAACAGCTGATTCATTAAGCTGAAGCTGAGATCTGGGAAATCTTGTCCCAGAGAATCCCACATCACCAACTGATATGATAACAGAGCGGAAACCTCAATCTGTCTCCACAGAAGGGAGGGAGCAAACAGAATTATTGATGTGAGGCCATGTTATCAGCACCGTATATCTTCCATCCAATTGAGGGTGCAAAAGAAAAGGGAAATGAGCCGCGATAATGATTTCTCTCTGACCCAGGCTTGTAGCAGGTAAGCATCCAAGTCCCCAAGTTCTGGCCCAGGGGGACGCGACAGGAAAATAAACCCTGAATGCAAAGACAAACCTGCCCTACCGGTGGCCTCATTCCCTCCAGGAAGCCAGGGAGCAAGAGGAAAGGCAGATGCGGTGGTCCCTCCACTTGAGAAGTGCTGGCACCTCTCACAACCTGGTCGTTATCCCTCTGAGAGTCGCCTTGAGGTCCAGGGCTTGGACTGCTCTAAGGGCACCATCTGCTGTCGTCCATGGCAACATACGGTTGCCACTTGGAAGAGTCTGACAGACTATGAGACCCCCTCTCCTGGCCCTGATGTGGGGCGTCTGCCGCCCTCATGAGGCCGCAGAGACCCAGGGCCCAAGATGTTGGAGCGGCAGCTGCGTCTCCCTGCAAGCAACCTCCCTGCACAGTGGATGAGCCCTTGGGAGTCTGGAACATGGGGATCAGTGTCCTGGGGCAAGAAGACTCTCAGGGAGGCTGTGCACACACACGTACAATAGTTCCCAAAGGAGGAAAAAGTCCACAAAGGGCTTTTGACAGTTTAGAATAAGTAACTGTTGGGATCCCTGGGTGGCGCAGCAGTTTAGCGCCTGCCTTTGGCCCAGGGCACGATCCTGGAGACCCGGGATCGAATCCCACATCGGGCTCCCAGTGCATGGAGCCTGCTTCTCCCTCTGCCTGTGTCTCTGCCTCTCTCTCTCTCTCTGTGACTTATCATAAATAAATAAAAATAAATATATTTAAAAAAAAAAAGAATAAGTAACTGTTGTTAGGATGGTTGGATTCACGAGGAGCCGAGGGGTGTTCTGCTGCGCCCCCCACAGGACATGCCCGAGCTCCCATCATGCTTCCCTGGAAGGTACACGCACCCCCGAGATTTCCCACCCTGGGATGGGGGTGTGACCACGGAGATGGGAGCACGGAACTCCCCACCCAGGCAGAGAGCTCAGAGACTGGGGGTGTGTACTCAGGAAAACAAAGTCGGTATTTGGTGCAAGCTTGAGGTGTCAGCTCTGAGGACTTCTGTCAACACACAAGTAAAAACACACCCAGAGCTCAGAAGTCTTGAGTTTTATGCTGGCTTTGATATGTGGTCTGTGGATTGAGCTGAAAATAAGATACTTCCCGCCCAGGAGCAGAACTCAGTTCTGGCTAATGATGAAACCTACCATCTGCACTGTGACCAGTGCTGCACATCAGTGGAGGGACTGGTCAGGAGGTGTGAGCACAGAACAAAGGTGTGCAGAACCAACATGAGAAACGAGGGACTGTGAGTGGGAGTCCTACGCTCTGCGTAGTCACTGACATGGGCAACTCAAAGCTGCTGAGGAGGACATGGCTGGACCACAGACACTGTCACGCAACTGCAGGATCTTACATAGATATGTCTGTGCACATGCACACACTTGCACACCTGCACACACACGTGTGCATGCACACACACCTGCACACACAAACAGCACCCACTACACATGTGCACACATGTGCCTGCACACGCACATGTGCACAACCGTGCACACATACACATGCACACATGTGTGTGCAAGCACAGCACCCACCACACACATGCACAGCACACAGTGCACTCATGCACAGCACCCAGCACATGTGTACTCACACACGAGCATGCACACACATGCCTGCACATGCACATGCACACACATGCACGCACACGCACGCACATGTTCACATGTGTACAGCCAGATATGTTTTCGTTTTGAAACAGTGTTTTCTGTTACTTGAAGAAAACACAGTTTTGTCTTTACCGAGTGTCAGAAGCCAGTCATTAGGGAGAGGACCTGAAAAAACGGGGCTGAGCATGCGCCACCTGCTGGGTATGCAGTGTGGGGACGGGCCCTCAATACAAGCAGCTCAGAACCAAGAGGAGGAGGAGAACCCCATTACCGCGAGCAGGTCCTCCCAAGAGTGAGTCCCAGCGCCTGGGCAGCTCTCATGTGACACAGATAAAACTGGCTGGGGTTCCAAGAGGCATGGAGGCAACACACGGGCATCAATCCCAGGCCCAGCCACCGCCAGGGGCAGCTGCGTCCACGGGCTCCACAGTCCAGGCTGCAGGTACAAGGCTGGGAGTGGCTTTGTTTTGTGGAGAATCCCCTCAAGCTGGGCTCATAGGTCGCACTCTAGTGATGGACGGGCTGGATCCCGGCTGCCCCCTGCCCCTAGGACACCCGGAATGCATCCCCTGTGTCTCCAGATGAAGAGCCCCCCGCCCCCCTGCCATCATGGGTGCCAGGAAAGAACCAGAGCCTCCACTTACTCATTCCCAGTCACGATGTAGCCTAGCTCCTCCTGGGAGGGCCGGACCTCCAGCCGTAGGCCTTCACCAGGCTGTCCCTGGGCATCGAGGGGGGCATCATCCTGTGGGGGCCCCAGAATCCAGGGCTGGAGCTCGCTGGAGCTGCCCCATCTGGACTCTGCAGGATGTGGGCTCTCCAGCCGCTCCTTGGAGTAGGTCTGACTCCTCACGTCCTCCACCCCTGCGCCCTCCTCCTCCCATGTCGGGACTGTCTGTGGGGTCTCTGACTTCTTTGTCTCCGAGAGGAGGGGGGTGGCCAGAAAGAGTTGGGATCCAGGATCCAGCAGCTGGTCTCCGAGTTCAAGGCTCAAACGATGGACCTGCAGAAAGGAGGCTCAGTGAGGTGACATTCAGGAGTTGGTGGGTAGCCTGGGAGGGGGGCAGCGGGGCGGCAGGGGCGGGGTGGCACCCTCATGGCCACATTCAGAGTCACATCCGGATGGGACATGTTCAGCTGAGGGGAGGCCAAGGGCCTCGCATGTCTGCATTACTCTGCAGTGCATCTGCCAGTGGGTCTCTGCATCTCTGTCTGTCTGTGTCTGTCTCTGTTCCTATTTCTCTGTCTCTGTCCCTCCATCTCTGTCTCTGCTCCTCTGTCTCTCCATCTGTCTCCATCTCCACCTCTGTGCCTCTGTCTCTGTCTCTCCATCTCTGTCTCTCTGTCCCATCTCTGTATCTCTGTCTCAGTCTCTGTATCTGTCTCTCTGTTCCATCTCGGTCTCTGTCTTGCACACATACACATACACTTTCATAAAGAATCTCATTGTATAAAATCAGTGCAGGTGTTTGGCATCTATGTTTTCAAAGCCAGCCCACGTGGGGGCACCCGGAGGGCGACAGAGCTCAGGGGCTTGGGCGCCTGGCTCTTGCTTTTGGCTCAGGTCATGACCTCAGGGTCCTGGGATCCAGCCACACATTGGACTCTGCTCAGCTCTGTGGGGCTTCTGCGAGTGATTACCTCCCCTTCTGCCCCTTCTCCCCTTCTGTTCATACACTCTCTCTCTCTCTCTCCCTCCCTCTCTCCCTCTGTCTGTCCCTCTCTCTTTCCCCCTCACTCAATCCTCTCTCTCCCTCCCTCTCCTTCTCTCTCCCCCTATCTACTTCCCCCTCTCTCTCCCTCCCCTCCCTCCCTCTCCCCCTCTGTCCCTCCCTCTCTCCCTATCTCCCTCTCTCTCTCCCCCTCCCTCCCTCTCTGTCTTCTCTTCCTTTCTCTCTCTCCCCCTCTTGTCCCCTCTCCCTCTCTCTTTCCCTCTCTCCCCCTTTCTCCCTCCCTCTCTTTCCCTCACTCAATCCTCTCTCTCTCGTTCTCTCCCTCCCTCTCCCTCTCCTTCTCTCTCCCCCTCCCTATCTATACCTCCCCCTTCTCTCTCCCTCCACCCTCTCTCTTTCCCTCCTTCTCCCCCTCTGTCCCTCCCTCTCTCTTCCTCTCTCCTCTCCCTCTCCCTATCTATCCCCCCTCCCTCCCTCTCCCTTTCTCTCCCTCCCCCTCTCTCTCTCCCTCTCCCCCTCTGTCTCTGTCTCCCCCTGTCTCTCTTCCCCCTCTCCCCCTCCTTCTCTCTCCCCCTCCCTCTCTCTCTTTAATAAATAAATAAAATCTGTAAACAAACACACAGAACACACCACCCAAAAGCAAAGTACCAAGGCCCTGAGGATCTGGAGCTGCCGTCCTCACCCGGAGACACAGGATCACGTCTCCCTAGTGCCATGGCTGCACAGACACCCCAGCCGTTGGCCCTCAAGTCCCCCCAATGCCCTGTGCTAGGAGCTGGCTTGCCTGTCCCCCAAGGGCATGGTCACAGCGACACATGCATCCTTACGGCCCCTGGGGGACCTGAGTCCCTCCCCACAGCAGCTCCCTGCCTCACCTCCACTTCCTGCACAAGGGGACCGTTGTCCCACATGCTTGGCGCAGACGGTGCGCCAGGCTCTGTGCTCAGTGCACGTTCCCTCCCCACCTCAGCCACAGGCTCTCCTGGACTCATGTCTAGTCCGCAGCCTCGGGGCTTACAGGGCCTCCTCGTCGGCCCCACATCACCGAGGCTGAGGCTGGCAGATCCAAGGGTGAGCAGGGTTCTCACCGGGGTGCTACCTGGGCACAGCGCCCATGAGCCGAGCCTCCAGCACTGCGTCCCGGGAAGCAGGCGGTCATAAGGCCGCTACTGCACAGGACAGAGACTTCGGGAGGCTAGCGAGAGTGAGGCGTCATGCTTGTTGGGCAGGTGCCTCCTTCCCATTGTGAGACCACACCTCTGAAGTGAGGCTACACGGAGAGATGAGAGGATGATCCCCGGACCCTCACCAATCACAGGTTTTTAGGAAACAAGGAAGCACTAGAAAGGGAAATAAATTATTCCCTGCTCACTGGAAATGGGACCTCATTCTTCTTTTTGTGTCTTGAAATATTTAAAGAAAATAGTATTTTGATAAAAACATTTGCTCCAATTTGGATCCTGAATAGTGCCAGTTAGCAGAGAGGGACAGAGCCCCGTCCTCAGGCTTTAGAAGGAAAGACAGTGGTGTTTTCACGCAAACTGTGTTCCATGATATGAGGAAACAACAGATGTTAATGAACAAACAAGAGCTCAGAAAATACGATGCTCAGATGCCCTTTCCAAAAAATTGCTTAAAAATGTACCCCAAGTAACAGAAAAATGAATCAAAATCTAACTTGTTCAGGATGTGAAGGTAGGGGCCTCAGAACCCCAGGATGTTCGTGGAATCAGTGTCGGCCGCAGCCCTGGCTCCTGCTGCTTGGCCAGCGTGGCCCACGTCTCCCCCTAACTGCCATGTCCCCTCCTCACTGAGACACAGCACCCCACTTCCAGGAAATGCTAAAGAGGACCACAGAGCTCTTCTTTTGCTATGTACTCAAGGCACTAAACCAAAAACCCCTAAGATGACCTGGAAAGAGAAGTGCTCACCGGGACACGTTTCCCACACTACGAGAGAGGAGTTCGTGGAACCACATCACACCACTGTCATTACTCCGCGTCCTTACCAAGGAGCGAAGGTTCCCAAGCGGGAAGCGCCCATAGAGCCCTGTGAGGGTGTCCCCCGTGATGGAGCACAGTTCTGTATGGCCTTCCTGACCAGTAGGAGACATCCCCTATCTGGACCATCCCACCCACACGTTATGAAGAACACCTGAGTGCAGCCAGCGCATCTAAGAAACTGCATTTTTATTTACTTAATTTTAATGAATTTAAATTTAAATAGACACATGTGGCTGGTGGCTACCACATGAGACACTGCGGGTCTACATGACCCAGGGCCTGTGAAGGTCTGACCTAAATGAACTTCGGGTGTCACGGCTCATGGGATGATCTCAAAGATGTTAAGTGGGGATGCGATGGTCTCAGCCCATGTCCCCAGGGAGGAAAATTCTAAGGAATATTATTTTTTCATTTGTATTAACCCTTTTTCCATATTTCTACAACAGGTAAATATTACTATACAATCTGAAAGTAGACACGAGTATAGATCGAAATGCACACAGGTTTTTATGCTCTTTTTATGCTTTTTCCCTAATTTAGAAATGTCCGAGTTTTTCCAAGGTTTTCTGGAAAAAAACCCAACCAACTAACACACGTTTGAATCATGCACATGTCCCCAAAGCGTGAACAGAAAGGTTACCAGGACAGCTCTAGGTCTAGGGTGAGCCCAACATGCAGACACGTGCCAGCATACCTCTTTGTAACGTGCATCTTCCCCGTCGGGCACTCGGTCACCTGTGAAAGACACAAGCATGTATCAGAACCCATGTGGAGAACACCACCGTCGGTGGAGCAGCACACCGCAGGACCCAACGGTCCGGGACAGAAGGGTGGGCAGAGCAATGCCAGCCAGGTTGCCACCAGGAAGGAGCACTTTCCTGTTGACAGCACAACCAGCACTCCATCAATGTCATGGATGGCGAGGGCCTCACCAGCTACAACACGTGGATTCACTGTGAGCTGCGTCCCCAGCAGCATACAGCTGTGCACCACCCTCAGCGGTGGGTCTCCGCTGGTCCCCATGGCACCCGCAGCCACCACGACTTACAGAAGAGCAGACAAAGGCATCTACACCAGACCCCGCGGTTAGGACATCTTCAAACCCATTACTTTGCCATGACGGTTGTTTCTCTAAATATTCCATCAGCGGTGCCGTCGGTGTGGAACGTGTGTAGGTGAAGCCCCAGATCCCGGGCACCGGTGAGATCCCCCTACCAGCACAGAGGCACCCGTCTCCATGTTTGTTGAGTGACTAGCACTACCTGGTCCTGCTGGAGCTCTGGCTCCTCTTCCACGCCCCGCCTCCAGCCCCAGGCCAGCCTGTCCCCAGGGGGAGGAATGGAGGACACAGCCATGTGCCATTCCACTTGTGCTTTGGCACACATGTTTGTGCGCCTACTACGTGCCAGGCATTGAACAGATGCTTTCATTTGGTTCCTGTGACTCCAAGAAGCAGTGAGGCAGAGACAAGGCCGTGCTCAGCCCTGCTCTGCCCTCAGCTCTAGGGATCCCATAGCTGTACAAGCGCTCGCGGGCATGGGGGAACTGGGGTGGGGGGCAGTCTCTGCTCTGCTCTGTCCCTGGAGCAGCCTCAGAGGCTGAGCCTCAAGCACACATTTGAATGAAGCCTTTTCACGTATTATTCAAATATTCGACTCTATCCACTCGCACAATCCAAACAGAAACACTTTCTATCACTCCTGTGTGTCCCTGACTCTGAGCCTCAGCACCAAAAGTGATTTGTCTTCCAACATAACTGCTTCACAGACTGCACCTGTTATGACAGCTTTTGGAGGAGGACGTTCAAACAAGTAAACCCCGTTGCTACAGATCCATGTCCTGGCGGCAGAGGGAATGCTTCACGGCCTGGTGAGCCAGGCCCTGCACAATGCAGTCTCATGGCACACCCCCCCAACCCTACTGACCACCATAACCCGGGCTGGGAGGCTCACCTGGTGGACCGTCTCCACCCTGCATGGCTTCTTCTGGCTTTCCTGGGGCTCCCTTCTCAGCACCATGAAGCTCTGGGTCAGTACCCACACCCTGCATGGCGGTAGCAATCATGTGGGCCATGTTGCCAAGGTCCAGGGGGCTCACACCCTCTGCACGCACTGGCGGCTTTCCCAGGTCCTTCAGGAGACTCTGGATCAGTGCTTCTGGGGACACAGAAAGGTGAGCACAGATGACACCAGCGAGGAACAGTCAGCACTGGAACCAGGAGGCAAGGAAATAAACGAGTGATGCAAACAGGGGTGTTGGGGGCACTAGCCAGGTCAACAGGGACACAGGGCTCGACTGGCAAGTGGCGGAGGTTCTATGCATGATGAGCACAGATGTGCAATTTAAACACTCGCTGGAGGGGCCCAGCCACAGACGGGCCTCAGAGGGCGATGGTTAGTGAATGTAGAGAAGAGACTGATTATCTAAGAACAGGGTGGAAAGGGAGTACCTAGGGGGCTCCACAGTGAAGTGTCTGCCCTTGGCTCTGGTCATGACCTGGGGCCCTGGGATCCAGTCCCTGCTCAGCAGGAAGCCTGCTTCTCCCTCTGCCCCTCACCCTGCTTGTTCTCTCTCTCTCTCTCTCTATCTCAAATAAATAAATAAATAAAATCTTTATTAAAAGAATAAAAGAATCGAGGAAGACGGAACAGAACATCAGCAGCCTGCAGAACCACATCAGGCATGACAGACAAATGGAGCAAGAAGGAAATGGGACAGAGAATGTGGCCAGAGAACTGAAGGGGAACAACCAACCCTGGCAACTCCCCAAACTGGTGAAGACCATGAACTTCAGAAGCTGCGGCTTGAATGCAGTTCAGAAAGAAGAGAAGGAAGGAGAAGCACAGGATGACTGTCAGAACAGCAGGTGGAGGAGACCTCCAATGGCAGACAGGGCCCAGGACGCCAGGGAGGTAGGCGAGGAGGGTGCAGGGAGGGCGCAGGAAGGGCACTGGGAGGGCGGGAGGGAGGGCACAGGGCAGGGCAGGGCAGGGCAGGGTGCAGGCCATGGCTGACTTAAAGCAAAAGAGAGCCCAGGACAGTACATTTCCTGTGGGGATGGTGTCTTTGACATCATCTTGCCACGTAGTTGACCATACACACACAAATGACGTATCTGAAGTGTTAAAGGAAAAAAAAAAACCATTTCATTCAGAAGTGGGTATCCAGTGAAAATGCCCTTCAAGCATAAGGGTGAGGGGAAGACGTGTCTACATGACAGGGGCTGAGCTGACCAGGAGGGTGATGCCTGCTGTAAACAGGCCTGGAGCAGGTGCAGAAGAGCTGCACGGTGATGGCGGGTGCGGGGACCGTAGCCTGCCCTCCCTCAATGCCCCTGAGGGCAGCTGACCCCACAAGGAGGGGCAATCTCTTGAAGGTGGGCTTTATAGGACGTGTTGGTGTAAAATTCATGGCCCAGGAGGAGGACCTAACCACCTATTGTAAGGCTGGTCTGCACTTCCCATGCGGTGTGCAGCGGTGACTCTACACAGACCACTTCCAACGAGGTTCCCTAATTCAAAGGCATTTCAACGGAAAAAAGGAAATACGTTCTTAAAAGGTGATGAAACAAAAATCTCTGGCATAAGACTCTTGTCCAGAATGTATATTTAAAGACTCCCATAATGACAATCAATAATAAAGAGGGAAACACCCCAAAAATAAGCAAAGAAAATACACAAGTGGCCCAGGAGTGCATGGCGAGTGCACAGGACTATGAGCAATCCCTGAGAGGCTAATTAAAACCATATTTCATGCCTGCTGATATGACTCGATTTTAAGAGACTGAGAACAAACTGTGGAGAAGATGTGGAGCCGAGGCCTCATTCGCCCCAGGTGGTGGGAGGTGGAAGCTTTACAGCCCCCAGGATGTCCTGTCCGCAGTTACTTAGTGAGCGTGGCCCCCCATACACCTAGAAATGGGTTCAAGATCCATTGTCCACCAACGATGCCCAGGAGACCGTGTCAAGCAGACTTCTTCACAACAGCTAAGCAAACAGAAAACCCTCTCAAAGCCCCTGAGTCCACCAACAGGAGAGAGGATGAATGGCCCGCCATCCATCTGCGTCAGCAACGATGAGCAACTGACGCGTGCAAAAACAGGGATGAGCCCAGAAGGGATTTCATCACCGAAGAGCACACATGATCCTCTCGGAAGGAGGGGACTTCAAGACTGGGTGGGGCCAGCGGGGGGTGGGGGCAGGGACCCTCAGAGGTGACCGGGATGTGTCACGCGTCCATCACACATACACACACCAACGCTCTTGGCATCTGCGCATCCCAGGGTACATACATCGCCCTCCGTAGCTTCTGGAATTACCTGGCTTGAGAAAGTGGACAAGAAGCCCCTGCCCGCAGCAGTAGGGCTCATGACCAATGTCATCCACACAGGGAGCAGATGCGGCCTGCACTGTCTTCCTGTCTGCCTCAATGGGCAAGGCCTCTGCTCACTCTTGCCTCCTTCCTGCACCAGCCGCTGTGCCCACCTGTCCCATGCACCACGTTCTCCATATCCCTGTGTCCCCACGTTGCAGGAACAGGCAGGGGTGCGTGTGGTGAGGGAGTGGGGTGTTCTGTGGCAGGATTTCTGTCAGGATTGTTATTGGCTACAGCTGAGACATTGGTTTCTCAGGACACATTCAAAATTCTCAGGATTTCTGTCAGGATTGTTATTGGCTACAGCTGAGACATTGGTTTCTCAGGACACATTCAAAATTCTCCTTGGTCTCATCACATCCATTGAGCTGGATTCACATGAAGAAATGTGGACTTCTTTCCGGTGGGGCGTGCACTGAGGCCATTTAGGAGAAAGAGCACTACACTGCACCCCAAACGTTCTTCAGGAAGCCAAGAGCTGATGGCGCTGCCATTGGATTCCTCTCTCCACTAGTTCTCCCACTGTGTGGTCCTGGACAAGCGCCTAGATCTCCCTGGAGCTCAGGCCCCTTATGTGTGACGGGGACAAGTGAGGCAGGCATAGAAATCACTTATCCAGTGGTAGGCATACCATAAGTGCCTAACAGCCAGAACTATTATCATGATGATGAGGCGATGGTCAGGAATAACCTAGCCCTCCACCGGTTTTCATCCCTTACAGTCCACTGCACATACACAGCCTGGGTGTCCATGGTGAGTGCTAGCTACAGTTCAGCATAATCCACACACAAAAAGCAGAGAACACACCCCCTGTCCATCAGAATGCTTAGTTGTGCCAGGTGACTACTGCCTCCCAGTTTCTTCAAGATTCAATTTAGGATTATGCTTTCTGAGATGGTTCTCTCCAAAGTATTAACCCTCATTTAAAAAACTGTTGATCTCAGTTATTAAAGTCAGACCCCAGGCTCCATCTACCCACCCATATACCCATCCATGCATCCATCCATCTACCCATCCATCCACCCATCCATTCATCCATCCATCCATCCATCCATCCATCCGTCCAGCCATCCATTCAGCCATCCATCTGCCCACTCACCCATCTATCCATCATCCATCACCCATCCATTCATCCACCCACCCATCCATCCACCCACCCATCCATCTACCCATCCACTCAACTACTCATCCATTCACTCATCCACCCATCCACCCACTCATCTATCCATCCATGCATCCATGCATCCAACTACCCATCCACTTACCCATCCATACACCTATCCGTCTATTTAACCATCCATTCACCCATCCACGCACCCAGCCACCCATCCACCCATCCACCCATTTACCTATCCACTCATCCACCCATCCACTCTCCCATTCACCTATCCGTTCACCTTTTCACTTCACTAACTGGTACTGGGTACTTATTGTGTTCAGAACCTTGAGTAAGAATCACTATGAGAAAGGATAATGAATTAAAGGCAGTTTGCTGCAGAGCTATAATAGGATTCACACATACATATCAAAATGTTTTAGAAGCCAGAGAGACTTGTCTACTGGAGAGTATTAAGCAAACTTAATATATGGGATAGACCAACCATAGAGACCATGTAAGAACATCAAAGGACAGCACAACTCAATAAGTCATTTTACTTTCCTCCTAAAACAGACAAGTATTTGAACTGACATGTTATTCAAACTGTCACTTATTACCCTATCTGTAGGCAAATGTCTTTCCTGAAATTCAACCAAACAACCTCCAAACTTTAAATCTACGTTTAAATTTTACTCTCAGAAATCAATAATTAGGGATGCCTGGGTGGCACAGTGGTTGAGTATATGCCTTCGGTTCAGGGCATGATACTGGGGTCCAGGGATAGAGTCCTGCATCAGGCTCCCTGCATGGAACTTGCTTCTCCCTCTGCCTTTGTCTCTGCCTCTCTCTCTGTCTCTCATAAATAAATAAATAAATAAATAAAAATCTTTTTATTTTTTAAAAAAAGAAATCAACAATTAAATTGACAAACTTAGATCTGACAAAGTCATTTACAAAACTTGTAAAATATAAAAATATAAAACTTAGCTTTTGCTAAAATAAAGTTTTAAAAATTCTTATTTATAATTTTTTTAATTTTATTTATTTGTTTGAGAGAGAGACAGACAGAGAGAGAGAGAGAGAGAACAAGCACACAAGCAGGGGGAGTGGCAGAGGAAATGAGAGAAGACCCCCTGCTGAGCAGGGAGCAGACATGGGGCTTGATCCCAGGACCCTGAGGTAATGACCTGAGCTGAAGGCAGATGCTTAGCTGACTGAGTCACCTAGGCACCTCTTATTATTTATTATTTCTAATCAAGGTAACCCAATTAATTTACTGATTTTTTTTTAAAAAAAAAGATAAACCCAAATCATGTCTTTAAAAAAATCTTATAGTATAATTCTGGGGTCTGAATTACCCTGAGCAAAACTATTCCATTAAAAATGCCAAGAATGTATTTCAAATATAATGTCAATAAAAAACATGAAACAATAACCTAGACTAAAAAGCAAGCACAGGTCTTTGTTGTTTATTATATCTCTAGCAGTATCAACACATCCACTTTCAAGCAGCCTGCATTGTTGCAGTGATGGCATAGAAGGTGAGAAAAGACAACACCTAAAATTAGAGACCATGCAGCAGGTGGCCAAGGCTTGTCACAGTGGGGTGATGCTCCCTGTGTGCCCCCCTCCTTTGAGGGGGGCAGTGTGCTGAAGAACATACCACAATGCCCCCAGATATTC